AAACATAACAGAATCACAATCAGCGTGTTCTAAACTTTTACGTTTTTATTATTCCAGTATTTTATATGCTAAACGTTATTCCCAAGCCTCCTAAATGACGAGATAGACTTTCGATTTACACGTTTCATAACCAGTTCTTGAACTAATAGCAGGACTGTTTTTCTGGCAAAATGTGACACTGTGCGATCGCTAGTTTCTCACTAAAGTCAGGACACAAAAGGATAAATCAAAGTTCATAATAAATACCATTGGCACAGTTTCTTACCTTTGAGATAGAATTTAATCTATGTAAGCCTTGTGCAAAGAAAGATACAGTCCGGAATAAAATATCCTCAGACGAAATCGCCGACGATTTCCTCAGGGGTTGGACTGGCGCATGCGCAATACGGTATGCCAGTTCTCTTGCGAATTTCGGCATTTGTACTAGTAAAATGTTGAAAATCACAGAAAAACACAATGAAACTTTGGCGAATCAAAAAAATACTTGGCGTGCATATGTATGGCATTGAGATATACATTTGCACCAATTTGGAAAAAAATTGGACAGAGCATATCGAAGTTATTGGAGGCAAAAGACGGACGAACGAACGGAAGGACGGACGGACAGAACCCAATCTATAAGCCTTCGACAGACTTCGTCTGCGAAGGCAAACAAGCATGGATTTTTACCTAAACCTAATAAAATCTGCGCATTGGCCCAGAGCATCTATGCACCAAGTTTCATCAAAAACCGATGTATGGTTCTTGAGATAGCAGTGGAACAGTCGGACACACATACACACACACACAGACACACTAACTGCAAAGACTCCCATTATGTGCTTCGCACATGGGAGTCAAAAATATCACTTTTCACCAAAAATATTTGCCAAATATCGAATTGATGATATCTGCACAAAATGAACGAATCTGATAGAGGTCTACCCAAGGTACTTGAATATAACATATCAAAGCAATTGAGCAGGTAGTTTTCAAAAAAGTAGTTGAACATAGCATTTTTTTACCAAAAATATTTGCTACCGTACTTCCCCGAGCAAAAGCCCCTCCCGAGTATAAGCCCACCCCTCTGTTTTTAGACATTTAATGAGTTGAGGGCATCCCAGAGTATAGGCCCAGGGTGTTTTTACCAGGCATCGACATGTATCTCATTGCATGAAAATCATAATTGGTACGGCAGTTTGATTCCTGCTTTTAGGAGAAAACTTGCATTAATTTCAGAGTGCATGGCGGGCGAACATTCGGAACATGGTTCACATCTTTTCTATTCTGTTATTTACCCAGGATGAACTCCGATGTTGCAATACTGAAGTAATCTATATTTCTTTCAAGTGGTAGTTTTCGAAACACCAAAATGTGATTGTCAAGTCGTGAAACCTGGTGAATGGGGTGTGGACGAGCAAACTATTCTTGGACATGACTTGTTGGTGACCGTTAAAGGTTTAA